GTAAAAGAATTTGTAAGATTACCAACTTAAAGGGCATAGGCAGCGGCTCTTTCGTTTATTCTGAACAAATTTTGACAAGAATCGAAATTCAAGGTCTTTTTGTTGACATATTATTTTTTGTCGTACCAGATGATTTCATCTCCGCCCAAGTTATATTAGGAAATGATTTGGTCGAACAAAGGATTAGTGTTAATTATAGCTCAACTGGTTTATTTTTATCCCGCGAGTTACAAGTTCAAAGTTGTCAAAAAGCAGTGATTACTTCGGACCACATTCGGACTGATGCGACCGGTACTGATAAAGACAAGTTAATAAGCCTGTTGAACAAGTACTAGAATAATTTTATCGATGGAGCCCCTTCAAGCCGAGTAACAACAGGTAATTTAGTAATACGTGTAAGCGGAATTTTTAGTGCAGGTCTTTAAGGCGACAAACCAATCAGTTTTAATAATTAACCCCCACTGAAGACACATCTCAGATGCAGAGGGTGCATTTTGAGGGCAGTTAGTCCGAGTTAGTCAGAGTCCGTGAAAGTGTGTAAAATAGCGGTGGGCGTGAAGGCCCAGCTGTGTGGTGACAGGGCCGGACTCGGGTTGAGTGTTAAGCCCAAAGAGTTGGGTGTTAAGGTGTTGATAAGAGAAGGTGGCAGGTTACGGTGAACCTGGGGCCACGAGAGTAATGTGAACGCGTAAAAGCTCCGGCAGATACCATGGTATGTACCTGAGCACTGAGGGCGTACTCAGGTGGGGCGCCTTTGGCTCATGACACGGCAGGTTGGCGAAAGCCGTGAAAGGGGTGTCCTGGCTGTTGACCGACCGGTGGTGGCGGTGGTGGCAACCGAATGCAACAGAGAATACGTTTGCTGGTTAGGTTGGGAGATTAGCCCGGTTTCTGGAGGAAACCTAGTGACGTATGGACGTGGAGGTGTCCTCTCCACTTTGGCCGAGACAGCGCTCCTTCTGAGGGGGGCTGTGGGCGGGCAGTACATCCCAAACTGTACGGCTAGGGCGATTACAGGTAACTCGACAACATCACCAGAAGATTGCGCGCTGAAGACGACGCCGTGAGTTGGAACCGCTGATCGACAAGGAGTGGGCTAGGGGGTGGAGACCCCCCGGTGAGTGGCCCCATTCTTGGTCATTGGCGACGGATAAGTCAGGTGTGTCTGTTTTCATAGTCATGATTGGGGCCGAATTGTCGCGAGGCCGGACCTGTACTAGAGCGTCACATGTAGGGGTGAGTGAATCTGTAGTTTGCAATTGGCTGTAGCCGTTTGACCGTCATTGATAATGAATATTTGTTGATAGTTTGCGCTAAAGCCGCTATCTGGCCAAAATTCGTCTTACATACGTCTAAAGGATCCTAACAAGGTAGTACAAAGGAGACCATATCGGTTGGCCCCAGTAGAGCGTGAAATCGTAAGAGACAAAGCTCTTGGTGAGGTACGAAATCAATTTGCTGTTGCGTATATCGACGACGTGTTAATACCCAGTGTAATAAAATTTATCACACTCAGGCACTTAACCTACATCGGGACTGGCTCGCGGCGGCACAACAACGCGATGACGAATTAACTAAACTTACAACCGCATTAAAATCTGATCAACTTAACCCTGATCTTGCCAAAACCTATGACGTACGTAATAATGTGCTGTACCGTAAAATTCAACGCAACCGTTCTTGTCATTATTTGCCGATTGTTCCGCATTCCATGATTTGGTCTGTTATTAATCATGTGCACACAAATCTAAAACATTTAGGCTGAAAAAAAAAACTCTTGACAAAATTTATGAGCTGTACTGGTTTCCCAAAATGTCGCGAACAGTGAGAAAATTTGTTGACAATTGTTTAATGTGTAAAGTATCCAAGAACAAAACTGGAAAAACACAGGTTCAGATGCATCCAATTCCAAAGATTTCTCAACCATGGCATACCGTGCACATTGATATCTCGGGAAAACTCACTGGACAGAGCGATAAAAAGGAGTATGTGTTTGTTATTATCGATGCCTTTTCTAAATTTGTTTTATTACAAAAGATTCATTCTTGAGCAGCAGACGTGGCCGTCCAGTGTTTAAAAGAGTTTACTTACATTTTTGGTGCCCCGTTTAGAATCATAACTGATCAGGGCAAATGTTTCACGAGTAGTGAGTTCCGTACTTTTTGTCATACCTTCAACATTGAGTTACATTTCATTGCCCACGGTTCTAGCCGTGCAAATGGTCAAGTCGAGAGGGTCATGCAGACGCTGAAAAATGTTTTGACTACTGTAGAAACCGCGAGTGAGCAAAATTGGCAAGATAGTTTGGGTGAGGTCCAGTTATCTCTAAACAGTACTGTTACTGGGTACAGTCCAGCTGAGCTTTTGTTTGGACCTACTATTCGCTCGCTAGAAATTCAGAAAAGTTGTTATGATCCGGTAAAAGCTGCCGAAGCAACCACTGCGTTAGCAAAAATTCGCGAAATTGCTAGTGCTAATATGGTCAAGGCAGCTGCAAACGATTTGAAACGTAAAAATGCTGGAAAAGCCGCTATTCAGCCATTTTCGTTGGGCGAATTTGTTGATAGCAAACAGAACGAAAGAATGATTTCAAAACTTGACCCAAAATTTAGGGGACCTTTTAAAATAATCAAAGTTTTGGACAATGACCGGTATGAGGTAGTTAGACTCACGGAAAAAGGTAAGGGTCGCGCTTTTGAGTTTGCTCACGATCAGCTGACCAGAGTTCCCGATGGACAGGGACATGTCTCTCCGTTAATTGATAGCGATGAAGAGCCTCTGTCAACGCTAATTAATAAAGGTAGGCTTGTGGAATGATTTGAGTGGCTAGGTCCTCTTGCAGTAGCGTTGTGATAACGAATGTCGATCCTGGCCGAGGGTTGGTCAGATGTTGAAGGTCGCTCCAACTGATGAGTTGCCCGAGTTGGCTAGTAGAGTGTCGATCCCGACCAAAGAGTTGAGGTAAAAGGGGGTCGGATGAGCTTATCTGTGTCGAACCAGTTGGGAGGTCCTCGTTCTAGTGTAGTCAAGTACTTATTGAGTGTTGAGGTTGAGCCCCATGTGTCAATCGGATGGCAGTACTTGGTCGAGCCTGAGTCAAAACTCAGAGGCAGGCAAGAGAGTCGTTGCAAAGTCGATCCTGGTTTCAGGCCAGATGATATAAGTCTAGCGCAGTGTCTTCAAGCGGACTAGTTTATTACAGACTAGGCAAAGGAAGTAGAGAAGGGTGCACAGGGGCGTGCACACGTCAGGATGGCCGTGTCGGCGACGGTGATCATTGTGGCTGTGGCGTAGGCAACCAAACATACAAGCAAGACGTTAGACGTCATAGGTGGCGCCACAAAGTGTTGTGTGATTCCCAGAACCATAAACAATATTGAAGGTCGACGGACATATAGCCATATATGGTAATGAGCAGGAACACGAGGGGGAAAGGGTTTCTCCCACGCGCGGAACGGCGGGACAAGGGGGCAGTGAGAAAGAGAGGCCCGGTCACGTCGGATCGCGAAGTTCCACAAAGTGCTTGTAGTACGACCCTGAGCGCCCAAAAATTCGTTTTTTTTTAATAAAGGCTCCGACATATTTAACTATTCCATTGATAAAACTCCTCTTCTCCGGTGCGACTCAACAAAGGATCTTAGTGTATATTTTGATTTTTGTTTTTCGGTTTGATCAGCAGTATATTCATATTATTTCCGTCTGCAACTCTATGGTAGGCTTTATCAATTTATCATACGCAATTGTAAGTATTTTTTAAATATTGACTGTTTAGTTGCATTATACCGTGCGTTTAATTGAAGTAGATTATTGTTTGGTATTCTAACTATCAAGTCTATAATGCTATGGTTTGAAAATATTCAGCGTAGATTTCTCAAATACTTGTTTTCAAAACACACAAGATCTATCCATCTAGAGATTATGACCATGTACTCTTACTTCATGAATTTGAGTTCATTCCTGTGTTAGTGAGAAGGAAAATAAATATTCTGTTGCTATTGCACAACGGTCAGGTCAGGTCAAATCAGGTCAAATCAGGTCAGGTCAGGTCAGGTCAGGTCAGGTCAGGTCAGGTCAGGTCAACCTTTAGGTATGATGTTATGAGAACAAACATTATTCTCAGGTTTCCCGTACATCTAATGGAGTCATTTCTACAATGCCGTTTGTGAAGAGGTGGATATATTTCGTTTAGGAAACTTACCGTTTGAGAAAGAATGGGAAAATGATTTTGAATCAGAAGAAGAATATAGAAAAATTGTAAAAGAAATTTTAGGTATAGAATTAGGTAAAATAGAAAATAATCCTGGAAAGAGAGCTGTAGCAAAAATATGCTTAAATTCTTCATGGGGTAAATTTGGCCACAGACAAAATACGGGGGAAATAGAAAATGTTACAGATGTTAAAAGATTTTATGAAATTTTATTAGAGATAGACTTGATAATATACACATAAATGATTTAAATGAAAATATGTTACAAATTGATTACAACTATGCGCCAACTGCTGATTGTGTTCGCTGTTTAACAATTTATACACCGATCAAATTAATATTTTCTCGGCACCTGAATTTGAATTATAAATTTAAGTTATAAATTGTAATAATGTGTTCTTCTGTCAAATGAATATAGTTATAAGATAAAAAAAAATAATAAAAAAATTGAATTTACTTAAGTAATATGTTGAGATGACGTCATCAAATTGTTAGTGGTGACGAACATTTAGACAGAGAACAGAATTTAGATATCTAGATTTAAAATTCCACAGCAATCGCCAAATCTAAAAAAATAACCATAACCTTGTTCTGAACTCTGGATCTTTTTTTTATTTGTCCAAACGATTCATTCATGAAGTTTTACGGTGAATGAAAGCTGATAAAGATCTGCGGTAATGAGCCTATAATTTGACCACTTTCGTTATCATTACGTAATCGTGACGTAACACTACCGTTACGTCACGGATTTTGTTGGCAGCCCTGATGTTATCAAATGACATCTGTTGCTAAAGTCACTGGAGGCAGCCGCTCCTTTTTTGGTAACCGTTTGACAGATAAGATTGTTTATTATTCAAAATCAACAGAAATGTGGTGACTTATAATAGTAAACATTAGTGAAACATAAATAACGTCAATGATTAGTTCAACGAAAAGGAAATATGTACATCCTGGTATTTTTATTAGTGTTTTTGAAGCTATGTAACGGCGATTCAGACGGCTATTGTGGGACGTATAATAATGGCATTTGTAAGAATTACATAGGATATAAGATAGTATGGTACAATAATTCAGGGGCCTGGGCCAATGAAGTTATAACTAAGGCTTTATGGACTGAAGTGATCGAAACTTTGAATGAACCATGTCGAAAGGCAGCTGAAGTAAAACCCTCTCAAACACACCGTTACACAAACTAACTTTAATTTTATAGAAATTGCTATGTTTTTACGCTTTTCCGCAATGTAATGTGAATGAAGCTTTACCACTATGTCAGGAAGATTGCAAAGCAGTGAAACAACAGTTTTGTTACAAGGAATGGGCTCACGTTGAAGACAGAAAAAGTAACGGGTATTTTTTTAAGTCACGCGGCCACTTCAGACTACCGGATTGCGGAAATCTACCAAAGTATATAGGAGAAAATAACTTAACGTGTTCGTATGCGGGGCTTTTAGAACTAAAAGAGGATGAAGTGACTTGTATGACGACTTCTGTGTTGTAAATTTATTACTTATGGTTTTCTTTTTAGATGATTGTATTAAAGGTAGGGGGCGCTTCTACCAAGGGAAAGTTAATGTGACGAAAAATGGCTTGCCTTGTCAGCGGTGGGATGTCCAAAAGCCTCATTCTCACAATAGCTCGCTTTTGGATATATTCCCGGAATTTAAAAATCCAGAGAATTATTGCCGCAATGTTGGCGGCGAAGAAAAGAAACCTTGGTGTTTCACCACTGATCTTTCAGTGAGGTGGCAGCACTGTGATATCCCGAAATGTTTAAATTCAACGGCAGAAGAACAAGAAGAACCCGTGATATCAATGGATACTTACCTCTCCCCATCTTTCCTCATCGTCTCATCTGTAATAGGCCTTCTAGCAGTGATTATTTTAATGTTGCTGATTTTACTCTGTCATCGATTTCACAAACATCGATTAGGTTATAACCCCACTGAAACAGCTGAAGTTAACATAGATTTGGATAAGTTACCCAGCAATATGGCTTATCACAGACACGGCGTCACACTCAACCCAAAACTAGAAAAATTAGAATTCCCTAGAAACGATATTATTTATATTAAAGATTTAGGACAGGGGGCCTTCGGACGCGTCTTTCAAGCCAAAGCTCCGGGACTGGTATCCGGAGAAGAATTCACTTTAGTTGCCGTGAAGATGCTAAAAGATGACGCTTCTGAAGACATGCAAGACGACTTTGAAAAAGAGGCGTGTCTTTTAGCTGAATTTGACCACCCGAATATTGTTAAATTGCTTGGAGTGTGTGCCGTAGGCCGGCCTATGTGTCTGCTATTCGAATTCATGGGCAAAGGCGACCTCAACGAATTTTTAAGGTAATAGGTGGCTGCACAAATCAAGGTCGGTGTAGGTGGACCGATGTGCATGTGATTAGCTCAAGCGGCGCCATTGGTTCTACCGTGACACTTAACCTCTATTTTAATTATCTTGTTGTTGAAGCAAATCACTAATTTTGAATGCGGAATATGCACATACTTGATTTATTTACTATTTAAATGAGTGTTTATAATGTATGTATCTTAAGTTTGATTTTTTTGTGCAGGCAGTGCTCCCCTAGCAACTACGTGGTGCGCAGCGTGGTTGACGGCGAGTATGGTGGGCGGGACGTGTTCAAGGACAACCAACTAAGCCACTTAGAACTCCTAGATATAGCTTTACAGATCGCATCCGGAATGGTGTATTTGTCGGATCGAAAATTCGTCCATCGCGACTTGGCAACGAGAAACTGTCTAATAAACGAAAATATGGTGGTGAAGATCGCCGATTTTGGCCTTTCACAGAAAATTTATTTACAAGTTGGTTTTGTTTACGTTCGTGTTCGCTCAGACTGATTTTGTGGTTTCAGGATTATTACAAAGGGAGCGAACGGGACGCCATTCCGGTTCGATGGATGCCTTTAGAGAGTATTCTCTACAATAAGTACACGCCGGAGTCCGACGTTTGGGCTTTCGGGGTGTGTCTGTGGGAGATTTTTTCGTTTGCGTTGCAGCCGTACTTCGGCATGACGCACGAGGAAGTTGTTAAGTTTTTAAAAGCTGGGAATGTTTTAAGCAGTCCGGAAAGTACACCAGTTGCTATATATCAAGTGATGAAGGACTGTTGGGCCCAAAAACCAGCTGATAGACCTAATTTTCGCACGATTCATCAGACGCTCACGACGATTCAAACCAACATGCTCTCAATGCCAATGCATTCTACATAGTTTTTCGACGGTTTTTAGTTCCGGCATTTTGTGATATGTATAGTTTACAGAATGAAAGTTTTTCATTGCACGCTTAGGGAGTTTTTTTGTACCAAACCTGTGCATAAGACTGATTTTGTATCCGTTTAGTTGGACTTTATCAAGTATCAGGGAGGAGACAAATTGTTGAAAATTCTTTTTATTTGCGTAGAGGTTATATGTGTATAAGTGTTGTGTGTTTTTATCATTCCTATAATAAGAGTGCTTGGTACTATATTTATACCTAAGGAAGAAAACTATGTTTAATATAAAATGTTTTTTAAATTTAATACCTGTGACAAATAAAATTACTAAAAAACTAATGTTGTTGTGACGTGACCTTCGCTGTAATTACGAGAAATAGAATGGCGAATATTTGGCACAATTTTGAGTGTTGTAGCTGTGATAACAAATGTAATATGACGTATGGGAGGCGATTAATGAATTTTTGGATGGCTCAGCGTAAATGTCGATTTTTCAATTTGGCGCGTTGGTGGTTGACGTGCGCCGCTATCTCCGTCTTCGTCTGACGCGCAAGCTTTATGGAATGTGTCTCTAGGAGCGAGATGGAGCTACGTCTGTGGTTATCGCTCTCGCTCTGATGCCCCTTCTTACTGACATACAACCTGACTGACATCAGAATTTTCCAAAGTTTAGTGCAGAACGCGAATAAATATAAATAAAATAATTTTATTCTTAGTGCCTATCTTATGTTCAACAAAGTTAAAGATTTCAAAACATAGTCTTATCCCAGGTAATGACAAATAAGGAGTTGTCATGTAAGTATGCTAAACATCTAATAGCATTTACTTTTGCTATTTAGATTCTGCTATCATATATGGTATTTTTTACTCAAATCTAATTGCTTTCTTCGTTTTTTAGTACCTCCCGCAATTATGGAACAGAAAAACGTAAGTCACCGATCATATTCCACTAGATATTAAAATAACTTTAGGTTAGGTTACAAAGATTTTCATTTCATTCCAATATGCACACCTCCAATTAGTCCAATCCGGCACGAATTACCTCACAAATTAACGTAATAATGCACTCGTTTCAGTAACGTCTCTTTTACGTTACCCAGTGTCGTGTATTTTTATCCTTTTTTGTAGTCTGTTACAGAAGTTGCTGGAATGTCAAATGGTTACAGACGTCCAAGAACTAGTGCCGATTTTTACGAATTTTGTACAATGGTTTTGCAATACGCAAATTACGAAGGCTGGAAAAAAGATGTAAGTGTTTTTACCTCATTTTGCTTTCATTTCAAGTTTCACTCTCACTCTCATTTTCAAACAAGAAATTTTCAAAAACAAACCTAAACTGGTGTTTTTTTTTATAAGAGTGTTTTTGGTATCAGGAACTACGTAACGAGACAAACCAAAGCCCTCCCTTGGACAGCTCGGGGAGTAGTGTCAATTCAGAGTCCACTAGTTCCGGTCAAAAGGATAAACAAAGTGAAGATGATGAAGATAGCGACTCTTTTAATTTAGTTACTTGTTTTTGTGGCAAACCCTTTGCAGGTAGACCTATGATAGAGTGCTTGGAGTGCTTAACATGGATACACCTGTCCTGTGCTCGGATTAAAAAAAACAATATACCAGAAGTAAGTATTCCCGCTTTATTTAGAAAAATAACCGCGTAAAAATTTTTTTTTTAAACATCTGGCGAGTCGCTTTGTTGCTGTGCTTGAGTCTTGCTATTTTTCATTGAGCTTTAAATTTTGCGCATCTATAGTCAGTTCAAAACGTAGAAGTGGGTTGGCACTGCCGCTCATCTATAGTGCGTTTCAAGTATGGTTAATTAATCATTTTCGTCGTCATCAGGTGTTCCTATGTGCCACGTGCAAAAAGAAGCAGCGATCTGTGTCTCCCACTAGTCCCCCTGATAAAGCTGTGAAACGTCCGCGTAGATCGACGTAGAGTTATTACAGATACATTGTATATAAACTATACGTAGAAAACAATGTAAAAATGTAAATACTCTAATGTAAATTCTTGATTATGTGCCCTTAAAAGGCCGTTTTAATCACAAAATTTATTAACCTATACAAAATGATAGTATCTCTATATTTGTTGACTGTTTTAGTGATGCTATATGAATGTGATAGGTGCGAAGTATTCTCCATTTTTTATTTTATTCGTGCCCCCACTCATGTGTCATTTATTTTACATCTTTAGTTATAAGAGAACGTGTTAAGTTTAGGAATGAAAAATGGAGTGTACTGTCAATTTTACTATTTTTACAGCACAACAAGTATTGTAAAAATAATAAATCGACGCATAAGCGTTCTATATTTTGTAAACGAAAAATTCTATATTTATAAAAAGAGATCATTGTTCGGCAACACATTTTCATATTGATGTTGGGATTTGAACGTTTTGATGGGCAATCATGGGAAAATAATAAGTCAGTTAATTGGTAAACGCTCTCGTTTTGTCTGCAGCGTTCTCTTTTTTAAGACTTGTTTCGTCGTGATTTGTTTCTACACAATTTTTGTCTTACTTCAACATGTCGTAACACGTCGTCGTTGCACGTTTAACTGGTCATACGTCAGTCTTTTTCGCATTATTTACAGAATCAATTATTTTTACTTTTGTTTCTCAGTCGAGTTTTCAAGATGCGCTGAAAACACTCCTTTTTTAATTTTCTACGTGGCTGCACTTCTTCATGTCTAGTGACTTTCCGTTGTTTGTTCACCCACTCACTAATTTGGATGATCATAATTCATAATCATAACTGACTGCAAATAATGCGACACCGCCACAAAAAAGACTGACGTATAGCTGACTAAACGTCAGAACGAACAAGCTGAACATGTTCGAGTAAGCAAATGGCGTCCGAGAACAAATCGAGACTGTTTTTGTACTTTTATTTTATTTTTTTACTCAATTGTAAATTTTTATCGTGCGACAATGTTTATTTTTATGCAATTAATTTTATAAATACTCTATAGGTGTTTTTCAAATAACTGAGTCTATTATTTTCAGTTGTGAACACATGAAAAATTGTGATATTCTTTAAAATATAATATATTATAGTGCGCCCTCAAAGTTATGACAAATACATTGCTATAACTTTTTATTTATTGATTGTTTTGTTATTGTGAATAATTTCGATTGTCAACGCTTATGTCTGCAATTCTCACTTTCCCAAGTGATAGATCTTTACACGGGACTTTATTATTTATTGTAAAATATGTAGATTAAACTTGATTAAAATGTTTTGCTGGACTGAATTGTTTTAAGTTTGTTACCACATTTTCAAGAAGTATCTCACACACGAAGTAACTAACATTTAGTTATTGATCAATTTTCTTGCAGATGTTGGTGTACCTCTAATATCAGTTATAGTTTGTAGCATAAGATTATTTTGATATGTTGTATGTTATATTTTACTTCCCGTATATTTTTATATTATATTAAGTTCGTGGTATTAAAGTTACACAGGTCTTTCAGACACGTGTTGTTAATGATAAACATGAAAAAATTAAATACTTTTTATAAGGCATTGTATTTGCAATAAAATTTAAATGTTTTGCCCGCATTTAATTTTTAATTCCCCCCTCCATTCGAACGTGGCGCCACCGTCACGTGCCACATCTCGAATCTGTCTTCTGTCATTTTGTTAACAGTTGTGTAGTGCGTCGGGTGTTCCACACAAGGTTTGTGTTAAATTTCCGCAAAAATCTACCAAACCACAAACCATCCACCCTTTAAATAACAAATACAACCATTATTCCATCCATATTTTCGCATCCACCACAATTTCTACCCACAATATGTCCAAAATAAGCCAAAACACCTCAAGTTATAAATTGAGGTTATGTCCCCCAGTGTTGTGGTAGTGGTCAAAACGTGCCCTAACGCTTTTTCTGTTTTCAAGGACTTACCATGGCGCCCAAAGGTAATAACATGATCCCAAATGGGCACTTCCACAAGGATTGGCAACGGTTTGTCAAAACTTGGTTCAATCAACCTGCCCGCAAAATCAGGAGGAGGCAGAACCGTATCAAGAAAGCTAGGGCGATTGCTCCTAGGCCTGCGGCGGGCCCCCTGAGACCCATCGTTCGTTGCCCCACTGTTCGTTACCACACTAAAGTGCGTGCCGGTCGTGGATTTACTCTCCAGGAGTTAAAAGTATGAGTGTTGGGTCCTGTAGTTTTTCAACTAACAGGGTGTGTTGTAGGCCGCAGGAATTAATAGCAACTTTGCCAAAACTATTGGGATAGCTGTGGATTACCGTAGACGGAATAAATCCGTTGAGTCTGTGCTTCTAAATGCACAGCGCTTGAAGGAGTATAAATCTAAGCTTATTTTGTTCCCAATTAATAACAAGAAGAAGTTGAGGCCTGGTGAAGCCACAGAAGAAGAAAGAAAGGTAATTTGACAAAGGTTTTACAACTTGTTGAAAGATTTAAGGGCCAATGAGTTGTAATTGAAATCCTTTGATTTTGTGAAGTTGAAAATGTCTGGTTTATGATTAAATAATAATGTACATTGTGACCAAAAAGAGTGGAACTAATTCATTAGAAAAATTATACATTGGGACAATATTGATGTTCTAAAAGCAACTTAGAAATTTTTAGTGATGCTGTAAAAAATGTCAAAGTTTTCATGGATAATTATAACATGCAAGGTAGAACAACATTTATATATTCATAGGTCACTGGATGTTAAAATCATTGTCATCAGAAATTTAGGTTTTGCATGAAAATGGGAATAAATCTTCAATTTGGGGTTTTAGTAAATAGAGATAATTTTTATTAGTGCAAAATAATGAAAATTAAGAATTTGAAAGTGTAAGAAATCTATTTATTTTTTTTTAATCTTCCATGAGATAATATAATATACATGGTTTATAATATAACACTGTGAACTGAGAAACAAACCCACACACCTCATTTAAGTAGAATGTGTAAAATCTAAACATGAAATGTCTACATTTTTGTATACTTTTTTTTTTAGGTTGCAACTCAACTCACCAGCGAGGTGTTGCCTATTCGCCAGTCCGCAGTTAGGACAAAGGCGAGAGTTCCGACTGACGAAGAAAAGAACTTCAACGCCTTTATCTCCCTTAGAAAAGTAGGTCAAAACTGAAAGAAGTATGATGGATACTTATGACATTGTTTTTCAGGCTCGTGCTGACGCTCGTTTTGTTGGTATTCGTGCCAAGAGAGCAAAGGATGCCGCTGAGAATCCAGATGATGTGACTAAAGCAGCAAAGGCTAAAGGCAAAAAGTAAAATCACGTTTTTGTATAAATAATTTAATAAAAATTGAGGAAAAAAAATGCGTTTTATTTATTCTCACACTAGACAAAGAGGGGGGAGGGAAATAATTGTAGTAATGCCTGAAAGTGCCTTAAAAAGTGTTAGTTATTTGGATGCAGTGTTGTGGTAATTTTTGTTACCATTTTATAGAAAATCATTTCTGTCAACATTGAAGTTAAATCTCTATATTATAGATGGCGCCGTGATCATTGTTACAGGTTCCTGTTACACTAACGCCGTTTTATGTTCGTTTAATTTGGCGCGTAATTCAAAATGAGATTCAATTTGAGGAGGCAATTAACTAGATTTTTTTTCTAAAAACGTCAGATGTTAACTGGTTCGTGCTTTCCTGTTTTTATTTTCATGCTTGCGTCCATTCCGCTAATGAGGTGTTTAAGTAACCGTTTTGGGTGTTTTAAATTCAATCGTCCATCGTAAAAAACACATTTATTATAAATTTATGTATCTACTTTAACTGTAACATTAGCGGAACTCGATGATGTCACTAACTAAGTGGCCCTTTTAATTTGAATATCCAAAAGTCGTTCCCATACTTCAAGGAGGATTCAATTTCGTTATGTAAAAATATTTTATTGTGACCTCACGAAAATAATAGTATTTGAATTAAGATAAACTCTAGCGGTACTAATTTGCATGCTATTAACCCATTTGTCAAGGTATTAATTAATTAATTATACAGTGTCGTCGTATTTTAATGTTATAATATAATATATTTTTTAATAAAAGGGAATACAGTCACCTGTAGCTATACATCTGCACATTCAAACAAAGAAGTTCGCCCCTATACTTAGCTTTCGTTGGCAGCAAAAAATTAATGTACTTTCGCAGCACAAACAACATTTTAGTGTAGTTACGTAAGTTCTATTCGGCTAAGCAAAAAAAAAAAATAGTAGCGTCCACTTAAAAAATGACCATAATTTAGCACCGAAATATGAGCTTTACTTTTTTGCCTAACTATAATTCACGTCTTATCTGTGGTTTCTTTGTCCGTCTTAACTATTTTTGAGAAGTTAGGTTCTCCGAAGATCTGCCATCCAAATAAGATTATTATTTCCCGTAATTAATAATAATTTATGGCTAAAACATAGGTGTGTGTTAACCAAGCTCCGAGATTAATACAGTAGTTCGAAATTAACATAATGGCGTTCGAAAAACTGGTCGAATTGTGATTAGTAATTTTTAATTACAGCCTTTGTGAGAATATCACTATTAATTAGTTTTTTTGGGCCCTCGGTGCATTCGTTATCTCAGATTTATGTCTTTGACGATTACCGCTTTGATTTGTACAGGATGTATAAATTTCTATGAGCTCATCGGGAGAAGAAGCAAGAAGAAAAAATTTATTACCAACAAATAAATATTTTTAATCGATGGGTACGTTCACCTTTTATAACTGTTCAAAATCATTACTAGATTTTCGCATATTTTTCGTATAACAGAAATATTTTCAAACGAGTTTTACACATGATTTCATCAATTTGCATTTTGATTGGCCTGGGGCGATGACGTCACGAGGGAGGAAGATTTTTGCCCCTCACCCACCTCTACTGAATTTTTTTATAGTTATAGTCTAATTATGATGTAGAGGGGTTAATTTTTTGTTGCTATATAGTCGTTTTTTGGGGAAGTGCGTTGGGTCGATTTTTTGTAGGGGTCTTTTGGCGGAGGCTAAAAAAGGAGAAATAAATTGGTGTAATAAAGCTTATATGATTATGTAAATAAGTGGCTTTTTTGTGAGCGTTTTAAAATTAAATTGGTGGTCAAACATGTGCAAAAAGATATCTACGGCTTGTTCGGTGCAATAAAAAAGTCCGTTCGTGACGTTCCGCCGAAGAGGTCAAAAAAATAAGCATCTGAAGTTTATAATAGGAATATCCATGGGAGAGGGATAGGGGGAAGTTGCATCCGGTAATCACAGCCACAAAAACAACAAGCGATTGTAAAGCTTCTCAGTCGGCGAGTTCGCTTTTGATAAAGAAACATCATGGGTCGTTACGTTAGTGGTTTATCTGCTGTTTTAGTATTTTTCATTAGTTTGTCCACAGGTAAGTCAGCTTTTCTTAATACTTAAGTCAGCAATTAAGCGCTGCGTTAATTGGCGTTTAATTAATCCGCGTTTTTGCGGCTCGTACTCATCTCCAGCCCCCGGTGTCTCACGTTCCCGGTCCTTTTACACAAAAATCCTCGTTAATTGACTTAAATTCGAATGAGCTTAAGTATCTATTGTTGAGTCACACATGCGCTTTGTTTGCCCGCATTGCATTTGAGAAGCTGGAATGCCGAGCAATTTCGTTGAACCGCCGTAAAAATAGGTAAAAAAGCCAACGAGTTTTAAGCTCGGCTGTAAAAATGGTAAATATCTGTTTGTTGTTAATCGCCCTTGAATGGGAAATTGGTACTATTTATGGCAAAGCCGGGTCGTATTTTTCTGATTTCGAACAAACATCGTTTTTCAAAGACGATATTTATTGCCTCTAGTCGCGACGCGTTTCTTTTTCAAAAAAAGGGTTTTCTGCGTTCAGACGGCCCGCGGTGATGCATTTGAATTTTTTCAAGGTTGTGCCATGTATTTAAAATTTAACAGGTTTAGTATCCTGTCTGGATGCGCCTTTTTGGTATTCATGGCAAATACGAAGGCCTTTATTTTACATCCGCGGAGTCTCGCTTAGTTCCGGAATGTGACTAATAAATCAATATTCCACACGCGCTATTCTCTATATATCGGTATTAGCACTCAGGTCTTTGACTTTTTTTGTTCAAATTATTGGCCTTGAAGACGCTCAATTTTAAAAAAGGCTGCTCGCGCTTGAGATTAATTGTTTAACGAAGGTGAAGATTCTCGATTTTGTTGCAACGAAATTTCTGGCAGGTCACTGACTCCGCTGTTTGGATAAGAACTAGTATTCGGTACCTCATCTCGGGCTCTTATCTCATTTGTACCTGTCTTGTTTTACACACCTTTAATTAGGAGCCGATTTTTTCAGGACAAAGAATCACAACCATACAATTAGATGGGGTACAGTACTTCGTCAGCAGAATGAACCCCTATTCGCCCGAACTGAACTACTACTTGGCCTATCAGTACTGCCGATCCTTGGGGCTCCAACTTGCCTCTTTCGAAACTAAGGAAAAGGCCGACTCGATTACACAATATCTAAGAAATGCCGGTTTGTACCGCAACCACGACCCCCAACCCAAATAACCACCTTTTTTCAGGGTACGACAAATTCGACTTCTGGACTTCGGGCAACCGTCTAGGAACCGACATGTTCTTATGGATGAGCACCGGACTACCATTCAATGCCACCTTCAACTACATGAGAAAAGCGGACACTGACGATGACAACGGTGCCACCATTTCCGACATCGTAAGCGGCAGTACCAGCCCACAAAGAACTGCAAGGGAAAGGTAATAATCAATACTAAGACACCACCATTCCTCCCCAAAACAATCCACAACAACGAAAAGCAATAAACTCCGTTTTTTCCCGAGGTCCTTGACTGCAAAGTCGTACCGCTTCAAGCAGTACTAAAAATATTCACCGTGGCAAAAAATCGAACACCACATGTAGTCATCCTTCGCGATTTTGTGTGAGGATTAGTATCGTAAAGATCTGCTTGGAAACGTTGCAAGCGACTAAGGGCGAGTTCCCGGTATGGCAAGGTCAACTTGTAATTTAGGTCTTTGTGCTCGACGCATACCAAAGCAAGGACTCAAGCGACATATTCGTTTTTAGGATGATCTGTAACGACCTCCACGACCACAAAAACAAAATGGCGTTTATTGCTTTTGTGTGTATGAGGGTTTTGCTAATGGTATTTTTTTGTAGTAGCGACAGCGGCTCGGCCACCGGTTGTGTGGTACTCCGGGCTCCGAATTTCGAATGGGACACTGACGATTGCGTTTCGATTAAAGACTTCATTTGTGAGCAAACTCGCTGCTATTATTACAATTACGGATCTATTCCTGTGTCCACTGCGCAGGGGTAAGAAGGTGAGAGCCCAACGGCGACTCATCTTGGGTTATCAAGTGTATAGTACTACCACCGTGTCCCGTAACACTACTAAGCATTATTAATTACTCAATGAAAAAATTCATAGTCACCGTTAAACCAAATAAACTTGACACCTCATTTGAATTCAATGGAGTTCGTACGACTAGTACCTGTATATAGTGAGGTGGTAGAATGTATTAATAGTTAGTTACGACTTAACCCAGGTGATTGGTGGTTGAGAGGGCAAATATTAACCTTAACACGCACACATGAATGAGTCCATTCAGGTACTAAACGCCTCATTTTCAGGAAACCAAAACCAGCAGTTACTACAACGCAACCCACTACAACTACCGAAAATTTTAAAAATAATTTCGTACATATTGCTAAACTCATGAATAAGCTTCGTGTCAAGGATGCTAAATTGGATGATTCTGCAGTTTTATCTGATAAGGAGAACCTGGAACAGTCGACCAATGGGCCTTACGACAACTTCAACGTAAACGCCGAATTGCAGGATGATCCATCAGCCATCGCTGAACAGGCTCAAGAAGGCTATGTCTCTACCATTGTGCCTGAAAAACTTACCACTTTGATTGACTCTTCCAATCCGTCCAATTAGTATTTATTAAACAATGTGATGACATGTATTACATTTTTTCCGTATTTTTATAAACAGTACGATGTAGCTTTAAAATTAATTAAATAAACATAGTTCTTTTGTATTTACGCCTATTTTTGCAACCCCTCATTCGATAAACACCCCACAACAATAAAAAAAAACTAGAGTTGAATTTAAAATTAAGCTTTGAAAGTGACTGTATAGAGCGCAGCGTCCTCTATACAATCACTTTCAAAGCTCGAGTGACCGTATTAATACCGCTAGTGTCTCCTAGATGGCGCTGCGCATATCGCCAATTTAAACTTGCTAGAGCTATGATTTTTTAAGAAGATCGTTTCAATTTTGCTTTCACGTGTTATTATTACCGAGGTTCTATTTATTTCAGTTAGCAGATGTGTAGCATTTAACTGGATCAATCAATGGGTCTAACAAACACCGTTACTTTTCCATTATTTTCAACAGTAAAGTTGTTTTGAATCACAATTGAATTATTACTCGATTGCTTGGATAATATTAACAAGTATGAGGTTTAGAAAGGCAAGGAAGACGAACTAAATTACCTATTATATTACGGTAACGAGGTAACGGTTATATAATAAACTTTGAAATTCCTGACTAAGTTTTGTTTTATTATTTTAGGTTTTTTCTAATTTGAGAAGATCGCTTGAAGATTAATTTCAGTCGCGTATTTCATTACTTTTGGGTGTAACTGTGGTGTTAATGCTTTTACGTAATATATTTTGCAGTAATGGTAAAGTATAAAATATTAAAATTGGAATGTCTTAAATGATATTAAGCGAGATGATGCGCTTCGCGCACACTTGTATATATGTGAGTTATCGACTACTATATAATGTAAAAATGTAGATTAAATATAAAAAAAATTAATTAAACGGTAATTGGTGATGAAAGTAGAAAAAAATATTTTTCAACAATAAACTTTTTAGTTTTTTTTTATCATAATTTAACATACATGTCGAGAAGAAATGGGTCGTTAAAAAAACTGAAATCCTTTGTTCGTATTAATAAAACACGATGATTGTCATATGCTGATTGGACAACTGGGTTAAAAGAGAAATGTCATTTCAATATGAATATTATTCAGGGGCGGCTTGTCCTATGAGGCAGGTGAGGCAGTGCCTCACCAATGAATTTTAGGCCTTATTAGGATTTTTATTATTTTATACGGACACATTTCGGCCAATAATTTGTGTCTTTTTTCTAAAATTTTAAAAATAAATATAGAAAATTATATTCTTATTTTTATCTCGGTAGGTACTCGTTGCTCCCTTAATTAAACAGCGCGCTTAAACACTCGGCACAACATGTATTTTGTGACGCGAATGAGGCCGACTCGAAGCTTGCCTCTACAGCATATATAGAAATCATGTCGTTAATAGGCAAGCAACCTGCAATACACTTATAAGCGGTATGAGTTGAAAAAAGACAAAATTGAGGCTAGCCTCATTTCCGTGCTTGCAAAAGAGATGGACAACTATATTATTTGCGCGCGGGGAACGTGCGATTGCAATGCAGTCTGCATTCGCAGGAGTATTCAAAATTAGGCCGTTGATTATTTTGCCACAAATCTGTGTGTGTATAAATTGATTCAAAGTTTCGGTAACAGAATTTTGTCTTAAAAGTGCCTACGTTTGCGTGGGTCGCGTTAGTGCTTTGTGCTTGTCATAATTTGATTTCGGTAATCGTTATTTAAGATTACGAGTAAATCGGAATTTTTCTCTACTAACGTTAAATGACAATGGCAGTTCTGTTTTTTCTACTTTCACGTATGATGATAAATTGTATGTAGTTAAGGAATTAAAACCGCCGGTTCTTGATTTGAGTAAATCGTTAATTGATCCATAAAAAAAAATTTAAAATAAATCCGTATTTATATTTTATATTTTTTTCATTTTGTTTTTTGTTATAAATCAAATTAGCTTTATTTTATGTTGTATTTGATCTTTTTCGATATGTTTCCTTTAAAGTTTATTTTAATTTTGTTTTTTGTTAGAAGTTATATTAGTTTTTTCTGACCACGCTTCCCTTTCCTTTTGTCCTGTCATTCTCATCCTTTCCTTGCAAGACCTCCTTACACCTTCACGTTGGTTCTTTGTGGACAGTTAAATGAGTTTACAAATTTGTTTATTTGACTAAATAGAAAATATTTAAGTAAACTTGATTTATTTATATTTTAGAGCGTTTTGTGCTGTGCCTCATCAATTTTTCAAGTCATGAGCCGCCCCTGATATTATTAGAGATAATATTATATTTTAGCGACTGGACAAACTTTAAAATAGCTGATAATCGACAAAACAGTAATAAATATATCTAAGGAAGGAATAAAAAGATGCAGAAAGTATTTGGTAACGAACATAAGAAATTTAGTTTATACAATGTTACATACAAATTATAATTACGTTTTGAAAACTTCATAGGAAATTAAGAGACAAATGAAAAAATAAATTGTTTCAAATTTTAATGTTTCATAATATATAGCTAACAAATAAAAAATGTAACCAATTTTTAATACAAAGTGATTTCCTACTTGTTGTGCTGATGTCATCAACTTTATGTAGGTATTAAACGTCAATAATTCGTTTTAAAATATTTGAAAACTAATAATTTTTTGCAATGACGTCATTAACTTTTCGGATGGAATAAATTAGACAAACATATATAATGGAGTACAGACCATAAATTAGTACCAAAAACTACAAAATTTATGGTTGAGACATATTTAAGGCCAAGAAAAAATTGAGATGGATCGTTAAACCTCAATTAAAGAGAGCACGTCATGCTTCAGGTTTTCTTAGCAAAATTTTGACACAACATTACTAAATTTGTGGTGAGGGCATTTTAGGTGATGTTCGAGGTAATCTTAGAAAATTTTAGTCCAATATTTTTCAGTTCAGTACAAATCAGAGCAAAGTTGAAACATTTTTTTCAAGGTATTTTTTCTATACTTATTTTTTTTTCTTATTTTTGAGTATATAGGTGTCAATTCTATTAATGTTCTTGAATATTTGTGAAACGCTTTGAGAATACGAATTCGTGTAATTAATTTTATCGAAAAACATTTAGGTAAAATCCGCCACAGATGCATACATTTAAAATATACCCAAGAAATTTAAAATAATGTCGAAATTTCCATATAACGTAAATTACACGTTATGTTAAAATGGCTTTTTGGCTTATTTAATTGACTAAACTAATTTAAATATATAATTTAAGGCATTTCGGTGATGTCAGTTACGTTGCATTATTATTATTATTAAAAAATCGTAAATTGTACTGATAACGTAATGTATAAACATAATCGACGTAATATTAACGTAATTACGTTCTTGGAAATTGCAACCAGGTTTAAAATTAGGCAGTATAAGTAAACAGTTTAGTATCATTATTGATTAACTGTAAGAATGTGAAAATAAGGCTCATTTTGGTTGTTAGGAGTAATTATATATTTTAAATGCAATTTTATAAATAATTTATAATTTTATCGATTAACATGAATCGTTTGAGTTTGCTATTCAATGAAAACAGCTCTAATTTTAATTACGTACTTGTAAAAGACGTTACGCAATAAACAATGTAGATGTCATTTTTATTAATCACTTGAGTGGACATAAACACACGTTATTAAACGAACAGTTTATTAATGATTCAGAAAACATTAAATTGAAGTTTTAATTATCCATAGCACTTGTTTTAATTTTAAACCGTAAAATACGTCGATTTCACATATATTTCACCTCAGGAGAATCTACATTTTTTATATATTTTTGATCTGATTGGTTCGTTTCGTTTTCTTTGCCTATTTAAAAGATTTGACACTAAAGTTGGAACGCAGTTTGTAATGTGTCAGCAACGAAATAGTTTTTTAATTTTACGTTTTATGGGTAACGTAAATATAACGTCAATAATAGACAAAACTCGAACAGTTTGAAACCTTTGCTTTTACACCATGATATTTCCGAAGGTAAAAGGACTTTTGTAAACTAAAAAGCCAAAAAATGTTTTTAGAAAAATTAAAACGAAATGAAATAATTTGTTTAGACAACTGACTCGAAATTAAATGCCAAAAATATATCGAAACAAAATGGCGACCATGTAATTAATTAATCTTTCGTGTTTTTATGATAATTTAAGAATTATTTAATTTATTAGTGTTATGGTAGTAAAAGATTTGTTTTTACGAGCAAATAAACATATTTCTTTTAAATTTTTAATATTCATGAGACAACTTTATCCAATATTTTTTTACCTCCGCTAATATAGGCATAAAATAGAAACGTACAATTGAATTCTAGTAATTCGAAAACTGAATTAACGTTTTGATTAATATTCTCAGTCGGTGTCGTAATTGAATAAAAATTCCACTCATCAGGGATCTCTTGGGTCAGAACACTTGCAATACATTCAAAGAAGTAATAATTTATTCACAGTACTAGTTTATAAATAAAAATATTATTATCGGTGTTTTTTTCCTCTAAATATTAGAATTGTAAAATAATTCCACTACTTTGTGGAATAAAATATGGCTGCAAGTCAAAGTGCTTTTATTTTAATTTTTCATATCGCGTGCTCGCAGCAAACAAACACACACCGTAGGAAAAACAGGTGAAACATATGAATTAATCTGACTTCTGCGTCAAACGGGAAAACAAACCCCACGTAAATAGGAAAAATATATTTTTTTAGGTCTGCTACTATATTTAATATTGTTTTCTGAAGGACACTCGACATCAAGTGTCATGTGTTTGATTATTTCGTGGATGGAGCAACTGACATCAAGTGCTGCCATCGCGCCAACAAATCAAAACCAACGCTTTTCACTTAAGTAAATTTATCATCATCAGTCTTAATTTGACAAACTACGCTCATAATATGCAAATTTTTCATATAACCTTTTGTAGTAGCACACCCGAATGCTAAATTCTTTAGAAATTTGTGCCAGAAAGAATTTGTCGCATTTTTAAGATACCGATACTAGACAACACTTTTAAAAATAAGAAACTCTTTTTGTGGAATTATATACAATGCACGTGCTTGGACGCCTAACAGTAAACCGCTCTTTCCAGCATTTGGCTTTGTTGTTATAGTAGTTTGGAACACCCATCAACCAATTTAAAAAACCGCCACGGAATTAGTTCCACCCTTTTTACTTTTAAATCAAACTATATGTAATCTAGCTAACAGGAAAAACTGTTTGACCGCGAAAGCCAGTGTTTGACGAACCATAACTCCGCGGAGCCAATTTGTTAAAGTTTTATTTTTACATTGTTTTAAACTGTGTGATGTTGTTGACTTATTCTTGTGTGACCAGGTGTGACCGGTGAAATAAATTTGGCACATGTCACACTCGTGACGCATGTATTTACCCCGATAAGAAGTGTGGAAAACGCAATTGAATTTAAAATAATTGAACGAAAAAGCAAATAAATCGTCCGTATTTATATTAACACGGATAAAGTCTTTATGTGACAGAAGTTCGAAGAAAAATAAAGAAAGCCGTATGGTGAGTAAGGAACAGGTTATGCGCGGGGCGTGTCCGGAGGCGTGGTGTAAATGCCATTGTTGCTGCGGCCAATGAGAGTGCTGTGGGCGTATCCGCGTTTTCCATATGTATTTATCGGGTATAGAGCTCAGTTCAAAACCGTCTAAGAGACAGAATAGAGCGAAAAGACCGCGGGTGGAGTGTGTGAGTGTCAAAATGCCCCGACCGTCGCGAGAGTCCTACGGGGACCAAAAACCCCCGTACTCCTATATATCTCTGACTGCTATGGCGATCTGGAACTCTCCGGAGAAGATGCTTCCTCTATCGGAAATCTACAAGTTCATCACCGACCGGTTTCCCTACTACCGGAAGAACACCCAGAGGTGGCAGAACTCCCTGCGACACAACCTGTCGTTCAACGACTGCTTCATCAAGATCCCTCGGCGGCCGGACCGCCCCGGCAAGGGCGCCTACTGGGCCTTGCACCCCGCCGCCTTCGACATGTTCGAGAACGGCAGCCTCCTGCGCCGTCGGAAGAGGTTCAAGCTCTTGAAGAGCGACAAGGAGACCCTCGACAACGAGCTGGCCGCTTTGGCTAACATAAACCGGTTCTTTTTCGCCCCGCCGGAAGCAGAGTTCGGCCCGCAGAAGCCGGTCCGCGAGCCGTCGCCGGTGACCAAGCTCGACGCCTGCACCAGGCCGAAGCGGGCCTTCACTATAGAGAGCCTCATCTCCCCGGATAAGCCCCCGGAGGCGCGCAGCGCCCACGTCGTGCACCCGCACCCCTGGAGCATGGCCTACTGCGACCTGGCCATGGCGCCGGTGGGTCTGGTGCAGCCCTGCTACGGCGCCTACGCCGTGCCGCCCTGCAAGGACCTCATAGGGCTGTCGCAGCTGGCCCTTCGCTCGATTTGATGCCGGTGCTCGAGTGACTTTCGCCGGGAGGACGAGTGAGGATCCGCGGTCATGTTCCTGGGTACGCGTAGGTATCCGAATAGGCATCTAGACAAATAAATGTGATATTATTTAAGTTATATAACAGAACAAAGGTGTACTTTATCATTTGTTTCCCAGCACGCGAAGAAATTATTTGCCGTTGTTGATTAGCTCTTATCACGAGACGATGTAAATATTTGTATTTAACTATTATGCGATAGACGTACTTAAGTTTCTATTGTCCATATGATGTGCAAATGAATGTAACGTTTATGCAATATATGTGTACATATTTAATAAAAATCTAAAACTCTAAACTTTTTTCAATCCAGAACGCTCGATTCCTCTTAACAAACAATTACAACAAATAAATTGTTTCCATGACATTGTGCTTTCAGAGAAACGCGACAAAAAGAAGCCACTTTACTTCTGATTGCATTAACACAAAAACCATGATATTTTTTGCTTTTTTTACACTTTTAACACTACAATGGACGAATTTAAAAGGCACCTGCAATTACAAAGAAGCTTCAATCGCTTTGATTAAAGATTTTTCAGACCTTACGTCAATATATTCAAATTATAACTGCCAGTGAACTTACCACTGCGCTTGCGCACAAAAATTACACTTCTTGTCAACCTTGTTTTGCATGATGTATAATGATTTATTGTAAATATTGTTGTATGCAAATCGATTTTTTCATTGTGTTTTGACGAATCTGTTGGTTATGCTTCATTTACAATTTTTTACTGTCAGCCTGGATGAGAACAAGGAACGATAATTCATAACTTACTTTATTCTCTTGTTTGAAAGATGTCAACGCTTTGTCACACTCTGTTTTACTTGGATTTTATTACAAAAAAATCACTAAAACATTTACATAGAGCAATGACAGAACAATTGTCTATACCTTTTTTATTATTTTTATTTATCATTATAGAATGGAACAAACACATTTTAAGTTTGTAGTACATATGAATGAAAATATAGATAAGTATATAAAATTTCTTTGTCGAGAAAATTTTGATTCAAAGGCGGCTACGGTTGGCACAAAAACACTTCTTTTCGTTTCGCACAAAATTTCCACAAATTCTAGGCGCTACAAGTAAAGCAAAAACCCCAAAATCAATTTAAAGTGGGTGTTCCAAATGCCAACATTTTATTCTTCAATACATTCTCTCTTTTTGTGCTTGAATGCAATGAAAGTAGTCGAATTACATGCGACAATAATTGGTTCTTGAACAATGTAAGGTTAAACAGATAACATTAACAAACAATAAAAACGCAAAGCGAGTCGATTAAAAAGTTATTAAAGAATGCTATGGTTTGAAAGATGGTCAAATGTCATTGCTGCTGGGATGCTCCGAGATGATTGGGTGACACAATTTTTAAAAGTCAACTTTGAATCAAAAAGTTTTTGTGCGGTTTACAAAAACCAACAAAATTTATTTTTGGTTGTATGTTATACAAATTTTGTGACAATTGTTATCTGATAAACACAAAACTATATATAAATGGTAATTTATGAAAACGTTTTTGCTGGAGTAATAAACACACGATAAATTTAAAATTAAGATTTTATCGGAGGCTATTGTAAACAAAACTGACATAATTATTGTACGCAAAAAATCTGAATATATGTGTTAAGAATGTTTTCTGGGATTTAAGGTGCTTTATTAATATCATATTTTTTCATAGTAAAATATCGATTATAATTTGGAATAAAAATCAAAATAAAAGACAAAAAAAAAGTTTGACAAAACAAACCCTTTGAAAATCTAAAGTTGGTAAAATACTAGTCAAAATTTACGTTCTCTCCGTCCAAAAAATTGATGACGTCGTCTCAAAAACTATGAGTAAAATATTTGTAATTATTTATTTTCGTACTTCGACTGTAGACTAGTTAAAATGGGAGAAGCTATTATGATCACAATATTATTATTATTATTGGTATTAGCGTTGGTTAGAGTGTGAAATTTTCGGTAGATTAATTAGCCGTCTTGATCAAATTTCAGATAATGATAGTGTGACAAGTAAAGGTAAAAATTTGACATAATGAGACCAGTATAAGGTATGTTAAATATCCATAAATAAGGTAGGGCTAAATTAGAATTTATAATTGAGGCTTACGACTTTGTACACACCGAAAGCCCGCGTATGGAGGGTACAGTTATAATAAAACGGCTTTATAATAGACAACTTTGTTTAGACCTCTAATTATTTTTGCATTAATTTCGAGATGTAAATAGCTTTAGATCATCTCGGCGTAGGTGGTGTTAGTTTGACAATAGTTCATTTCCATAACTATGATGTAAATGAGTCGACGGCAGTCTGCCTATGAGAAAAAAGCAAACTTATCTGATGTAAATTAATACGGAAAAGCGTAAGTCCGTCGAGCCGAATGAATGGAGTTGTCATTAAATTTGGATCCGCGCGCAGTAGACAAGCTTTGTTTGCTAACTCCTGTCGATATCCCGGCAACAAAAACTTTAATCAACCGTATTGTTTCGAGTCATATAATTAAGCTGAAATGTGATCAACGTCAGATAATACGTAATTAGCCGGACTCATGTAAGAGCCATTTTAATTACGCCATTAATATTGAATTAATTGGATTAATCGATTACCGGCTATTGGCAGTGAGTCCGCCGATCGCAGATAGCCGAACGATAGAAGCGCGAGACCACGCCGAGCGAAATCGAAAAAAGCTGAAGCGCTGTTTGATCCGACGGCCGGCGATTTTCGTGCTCGTTGTGCGTGCAAATTTGAAAAATTGTGCCGCAAACACATTAAACCGTGTCTAATAGATCAGTTGTCCGACATCTCCGATACAAATGTATCATCAAATGGAAGTCACATCCCCATTCAACGCAATTATCAATGCTCTATGCATAAATATTGTCACTAATAGAATACTGTTTGGGGTTATGTTTTGTCAAATAAGCACAGGGGAGTGTCAGATGCGCCCCAACATCCATAAATCACAAGCATATGCAACGCAACGTCGAAATCTAATTATTAAACACTTTTGTATTGCGTCAATAGGGAAAAGATACCCAGATTAATGTTTATTTGGATTCTGGGAGAAGAAAAGCAGGCGTGACGCGACTTCACCCGCCTAATTACGTCCACGAGAGATCAACGAGGCTCAAATCTGGATGTAGGCGCAAACCAGTAATAAAACTTTTGATTTTATGGCTGTTACCAACAGGTCACAGCTTTTCCCGTACACGAAAACAAGAAAGCATGATATTTTTGGGTCCATTTTTGATTATTTTAAACCTGTGTAACACTCGTGAAAAAGTCAAAGTATGCCCAAAATTTCAGGGAAAAGTGCTCCTTGTATTTTAATTTTTCCTTAAAAAAAGTTATATTCAGTTTTTACTCATTTTAAGAAAAAGTGTGAAATATTTTTAGTACGATGTTTAACATTAACTTTGTTGGAAGCAGATACCTCATTTAATAGGGGAAATATTGCATGGAGATTTTTGTGTGAGGGTCAGTAGGGAGTAGATAACCCGATAAATGTTTATTTGGATTTTTGTGAGGAAGAAAAGTAGGCGTGACGCATCTTTGCGCGCTTAATTACGTCCACGAGAGATCAATGGTATTCAGATCTGGCTGTAGGCGCGTCACAACTCTGAAAATCCGCCGCACAAAGGCTGGAAATAATAGTTTGGAAATAAGAGTATATAAACAGTCAAACTGGGCACAACAATGATGAAGATAATAGAAAAACACCATTCCCATCGCACAAAGAGCTCAAGGAGGCAAGCCGACACGTCCGCTGTTGTCACAGGTAATGTACGTGTGCTTTACTTAATTATGGTGTGAAATGAAGCCCATTATACCTATTTGATTTCATTCTCACCCATAATTGACCACCCATAAAAGTGAAAATTTGATAAACCGCCCGAAAAAATTCAATCAATATATACAACGCAAAAACTAAATTTGTTTTTTCTTAAATTGCGCGCACCGACACATTAACTCCACATCCAATCTCGCCAACTCTCAAAAAACCCATTCCTGGAATACTTGTCAACGTTAATCGGGATTTAATAATGCCGGGTTTCGGTTTCGGGATCACCTGGTCCATAAGTGCGAAATAAATTTACGTTCTGACACTTTTTTGCCTTTTTGAGGTGTTATTACGCCAAAATTGACCGCCTGCCAAATTACGACTATCACATATTAATTTATTGTATTTATTTAATTATACACATTTTCCGGAAATTCTTACACCTAATGCCACGAATTAGACAGGTGCTAAATAGGCTTTGGACCAGTTTACCTTCCAAATTTGTTTTTAAAAGCGGCGCCCACTGCAGGAAAGGTGCCCAAAGTTTTTTTCACGCACGAAATTATATCTTCGGGAGGACCGTGTAAGAACAACGGATTCTCCCACATAATAACGGCCTAGAAATATCAAACAAAACACAGCAAAAAATCCAAAAATAATTAATACGGATTTTTTCTGGAAAATTAGCATGCGGACGTAGAATACGCCGTCTTTTAAAAGAGGATATACTTACGGACGCCGGAAGCTGGATCTCGTGAAAGTGAATATATATATCAGAAGCGATTTTAATATGCAATAAATAACACCAAAATAAAAAAAATGTAATTTGTTATACATAGCTATATGAATAATTAATTCAACGTACGGTGTGATAAAAAAGAGAACTAAGGTTGACTGTGTGTGGCACTAATGTTTAAATTAATTGATATACTTACAACCCAGTTTGCATGTTAACGTGACTATTAATTTAATCTCAAAACACGTCGATAGTGTGAGAGGCTATTCACAGCATTCAATTTAAAACTAGAGCCAACTCTGATCTCTTTTTTTTTTAATCGCGTGATAATTTAACGGCTCTCAGAAAAGTAGTCTTTGATGTTTTGACACGGTATTTAAAAACTTGTAAAAAGATTCAGCGAGATGTTCGATATAAATACAATGTATCTAAGAATTGCGATCAAGAAAAAAAAGGATTGGAGGTGGCTACGATTAAAATTGCACTCGAGAATTATGTTCTGTGAATATTGTATACGCTGTTAACGTGTTTTGAGATTAAAATTAATCGATGGGAATAACATATAGAGGCACATTTGCATGTTAACATGACAATTAATCTTATCTTCCAAGCACGTCTTTTTTAATGGCGTGTTGTTTTAGGTAGAACAAAAATAGATTTGGGAATGGGGTGATTAATTTAATACTAATAATAGTAATAATAATAATTTGTATGTATGCATATGTATATATTTAATTTTGTTTTAAGATATA